AAATTTAATCCAACCCGACCTAAGTTGAAAAACTAAATCCCAAACTCACTATTAAACCTAATTTATATACTAAAAAATTAAAAAATTTTAAAAATAAAATTAAAATAAAATATTAAAATAAAAATTCACATATATATTATAATATTTTATTTATATATTTTATTCAGACTAAATAAGACTCGTGCTTTTAATTTTTTATCCAAGGTTCAATTTGAAATTTAAACGAATCTAAAAATTGTATTCAAACTCATTTAACGAGTTTTAATTTTTTAATCAAACACTCTCAAAATTTAAATCGATAATCTGATTCTTTAATAGATTTAACATTAATATTACATATCCCATATTTTAAGTGAATAATCACCATTTTAATAGAAAGAGTAAAAAGTTTGATTAATAAAATGATTATACAAATGATTAACGATTACTTAATTACTTTTTTTATTTGTATTTAATATACTATTTTTATTAAATTTAAAAAGAAACAATGCATTAGTTGAAATCCGCATTTAGTTTAACAATTTTCAAAAGTAAAATATATTGATTATGTTATAATATGTTTAGTTGACATTCATATGAAATAAAAACATAATTAAATGACTAACAAGTGATTTGTTCAATTGGTTAAAGCTTAGTGACCATTTGTTGAAATCATCTTGAATGTATAATTTGCAGCCACCTATCTTAAACTGCTAGGTATAATACATTTTACCTTAACCTAAGAAATTAAGCAACCTGGACTTTTGTTTTTTACCCAAAAAAATAATTAAATGTACTTTTAAATGATAAAATTATATAGTTACACATGCTTATAAATGAACATTATGTACTTCTATTTTGTAAAAAAAATTATATGCTATTTTACATGATATAATTTAAATTATTTGATTGAATGCATGAATACTTTCAAATTTTATATTTTTATGTAACTATTTCTTAAATGAGGTTAGCTAGATAATCCTAAAAAATAATAATATTTGAAGAACCTAAAGCACTTATTAATGTAATCAATTAATTAATTTTTTTAATTATTTATAAGAAAATATTCTTATTATGTATGTAATCAAATAAATATATTGTTTAGTAACATACTAACATCAATGCCTATCAATAGTAATGAATAATGACCCATATTCTTTAAGTAATTTAAATTTTAGTAAATTTATTGTAATGCTTCAACTTAAATTTTTTTTAATATAAAATTAATATATTAAGCACCCCAGGATATTTAGTTTACAAAATTGTTTTTTAGCCAACATCTCATGAAACTCTAATACGTTGATTTAAATTTTATAATGTTTGGCTTGCTATTAAATGCCAAAATTGATCTTTAAAAAGGCACAAAGATTTATGAAGATGAAATGAAAATAATTGATCGTTTATTGTAAAAATGTCTTAGGATAATGTTACATCCACTTAATTTATACATTCATTTCACACATTCACTCTTTATTTTGAAGATTTAAGTGAAAAGTATTAAAATTTTTATGGATTATAATAGAATTTTAAAAAAATTATATGGTATGTGATTGTGTCAAAAGGCGAGTATATATAGTTATTTCCAAGCTATTAATAATAAAAAATTTTAATTAAATAATAATAGAGATAAAAAGGATGTACATGAATTTTAAATTAAAAACATTATAAAACAAATGAAATCTAATGACTTAAATTAATAGTAATTTAAAAAAAGATGTGATATTTCATCCATTTTAAGTTTGGTCATTTATAAAACTTTGAATATTTTAAATTTCAAATATAAAGATTTGATCGATTTTAAATTTGGTTTTTTAAAAATATAATTGAATTTATAAATTATTTTATGTGTCATTAAAAGAGGATATTCACATAAATATATAAATAAATATACTTTTTTTTTAATTTTAATCTATTTTTGAATTCTCTACTTCATACTTTAATTGAAAGGATATTATATGCATAGGTTTCTTCAAACCTTAAACTCTAAACAATAATTTTAATAACATTTTAATTAATTCAAAAATTAATCAACATAAATATATCTCATATGATAATTTTGTATCTTACAATAATTTATACATATATATAATTTACATATATTTTCATCATTGTTAGCTAAAATTATGACATATGTACACAGTCACATCAACTCCATTTCATCCCTTTTTATACTTTCTTTTTAATATTAGATATTTGAACACTGCAATATAAGCTTCTTTCATTTGCCACGTCAGCTTTTATTCTTTCTTACATTTCATCGGCTATTAATGGTTAACATTTATTTTTTTTATATTCCTTCCATTAGCTCTTTCGTCTTCCTTATAAATTGAGCTGGCCCTTTTTAACTTAAATGAATGAAATATCAAAAGAAACATAATAAAACGGTTTGTTTTATGACACAATATTGTTTGAATAAATATTAATAAAAATAAATTTTTTTAAAGAAAATGAAAGATACATATTTTTTTATAGTTATAATTAATAAAAAAATTTAAATTTTAACAAACATTATTTAAATAAATAATAAAAAAATAATTCATTATAATATTTTTTAATTATAACTTTTTTTATAAAATAATATACAATATATAAATATATTTTTATACTATTTAATTTATATAAATAAATTTTTATGAATAAAATTAAATATATTTAATATCATAAGATGTATTAAATAATTCTTAATTTATTCTTAATTTTATTTTAATTTAATATTTTAATTTATTCAAGCAATAATTTAATTTTTTTATTGTTAAAATTTAAAAAATTTAAAAATATTTAAAAATTATGATATTATATAAAATATTTATAAAAAATTATATTTGTAAAATATATTAATTATCGAATTTAATATCATAATAAAAATATAAATATAATAATTTTTTCATAAGTAAAGATTATTGAATTTTCTCTAGTTTTATCTCCTTTAAATTAAAAATTTATGCAAATAAAAGAAAAATTTTGTGTTTTTATTACTTTTCTTTTTTTTTTCTTTCCCTTCCCCTCAATCCAAAAAAAAAAAAAAAGCATCCGTTGAAAGGAAAGATGACTAAAGGAGGATTATTCATCTCTTTTAAAGAATTTGGTTATTTTTGCGATCTAACTATTCCATATTTTTAATATTTTCTTGCTTTTCAAAAAAAAAAAAATGATTAAACTTCCTTCTTGGTTGGTATCGTATCGGAAAATTCTCAAAATTTTATCCAAAATTCCAAATCCCTTCATCTTCTTTTTTTTTTTTTTTTCTCAAGAAAGCTTAAATAGATCTCAATAATTTCCATTATTGATGAACTTTTAGGTATTGTCAAGTCATCAATCAATGGAAAGTGCAAAAGTGGAGTCTCTTTTATTTGAATCCTAAAGAGAAAAAAATGTTTACCAACAGTTGACGTGATTTTCGTACTTAGCATCATAATCAATAAAATTTCGTATGAAACCAAGTTTTAAAATTAAAATTGCATCCAAAACTAAGGAGAATCGAACTCCGATTTACCTTAGAGAATCTGGGGCTAACATTTCCACTTGAAGACCGAGTATCCCAAAATCTCGAAAACCAACATCGATGAATTGAGGAATTGCATTGGACAAGAACTTGGACAGAGTGGCATCTATCTAAAATTCTCTTGATCTAGAAAGGGATATTGAGGAATGGATCAAAGTGGAGAAAGTTGTTGAAGATAGAAGGACGCCAAGGAGGCAGGTAAAGAGGTGGTAAATGGAGGAAGTTAAGAGTTTCAATTGGAGACTGAGAAGTGGAGAAGTAGTCGGTGTTGAGAAAATGAGTTAGTGATTAAGAGAGAAAGGAAGTGCACACTGTTTTGGGCAGATCAATCTGCCTAGGTTTTTTAAATATCATTAAAAAATTTGAAAATTAATTTCAAAAAGAAACCCAATTTCTTTTTCTTTTATTTTTTTATGATTTAATTATTGACTTATATCTTTTTTCTATTTTCTCTCTTTTTACGGATAAAAAACTTCATTTAAATCTTGATTTGATTTAAAGATATAAGCAATCTATCTATTTTCATTAATTATTTTTTGATATATGTAAGTTGATATTTTTAGGTTCATATTATGTTTAGTATCTTTAATTTTTTTTAAATATATTTAATCGGATAAGTTTTTCATTATTTCAAGTAATGAATATTATGAAGTCTTCCTGGATTTGAGGAGTTGGTTAAGCATAATAATTTTTAAGTAATTTAATTATATTGTATTTAAAAAAAATTAAATCCTGTATTTTTTTAAAATGAGATAAAACTTTTGTTAAAAAAAAATGGCTCAATAGATGTTTAAGGAAGCAAAGAAAATGACTCAATAGATATCTACAAAAATAAAAGGTAAATCATGGTTTATAAAATAAATAATAAAATAAGATATTGTGTTCTTCGCACTTATATATTTTAAAATTTAACTTCAATAAGTTGTTAAATTTGAATTAAAGAGTTTAATTGTAAAATTAAAGATATCTGACTCTTAGGATAAATAGAAAAGTTACTATTTATTAATATTTATGCATCTTATAACATTATCATGCTATTTTCTTATACACATATTCTTGCATTTATATTGCACTGTGTTATAATTTTCATTTTAAACGATCTTAATACCATTATTTTTATGTTTGTCTAGGAATTTTGTTCAAAAGATAATTTTAATTTTCAAACCGATATTTTTTTTATTCTAATTTGCAAGTTTTTTTTTTTCAAATCCCTTTACTCCTCTAAGCAAATTGTATATTACGTCAATTGCCTTTGAATTGTTCATGCATTGCTCTTTATTGAATGTTGTAACAGTTTTCAAAATCTCTGCAAAACAATTTTAAAAAATAAACACTCGCTGTATATATACATACATACATATATATATATATATATAGCAACTGGATTGTAGCCCATTTTTATATTTCCCTTGAAGGCTTTCTCTGGGCCACCATGGAATGGGCTATCAGTCTGATGGATTTAAGTCTCCGTCTCACATCTTACTTCTTTTATTAAATACTTTTTATTATATATATATTTTGGGTGAAAACTGAGAAACAGAAACTAGAAATGGAAGCCCACTTCTTAATTTGTTCAATCTCTCTAGCCCATTCTTTACTCTCTTGTACAAGGGTTTCAAGGTTAGCATTCATTTTTAGTTAATTTGTTTATTTCTTTAATTGTTGGTTGATTACTGTATAGAATTGAAGATCCTGGCTATTTTCCATTTCCAGTTTTGATGCTTGAAAAAACTACGATTTTTTTTTTTTTTTTGGTATTTGGCCCAATGATTGAGAACCCATTGAAATAAAGCAGTTATCCCTGATTTTCATTTTGGGCATTTGCTATCAGCAATGGCATCAACAGTATCTTTCTTTTCTTTTTTTTATTGGTTCATCTGAAGAACAGCTCTTTCTCTTTCTTTCTCTCTATTTCTCTCTTTCTTCATATGGACACGGCTGCTGGTTTGGTGAAGGCTCTTAATGAAAATCAGTTTGGTTAAAAACTGCGAATGACCAATCATTGCTATTAGATCTGAGGGCTTCTTCCATGATTCTCATTCTTTCTCTTTACTCTTTATCATGCTGTGCTGTTGCTGCCTTGTTTCCTTGGAATATGATTTTCTTGCATTTAAGTAATTAGCGTTAGTCTGCCATCAAAATCTTTGGTTTGTTGGTTTAGTTTTATGTTGACTACAGTATAGAAATATTGATGTTGCTAATTGTCAGAAGCATGCTTATATGGAGTTGGGACTGATGGTAGTTGAAATGTATTTTAAATGCTTAATGAGTTTGCTTGGTGATAGCTTTACTCAACTTTATTGTGTGTTTTTTTTCTTTGGCTACATAACTTTATTGTTTTTGTTCTTTATGTGTTTGTTCTATCAATGTGAGCATCTTACTCTTCTTCAACCACTGCCATCTGCAAGCAAGGCTTGTCCATGTTCTGTTTATTTTAATCCCAGCTTGCACTTGGTGTATGTTTCTGCGAATCCTTAATGCTTCACTTTGGTGCTATTGAGTTTAGCTAGTCAATTGTTTTGTTACTCTCTGATGCATGGGCAGTTGGTAATGGGATTTTGAGGGGGCCCAAAATTTTTGAAATGCCCTTTAGCATGTATATATATTTATATTAAATACATTTAAATTGACCCTCTAAACTAAAAATGTTAATTTTATTATTTTTTGTGTTTTATAACTTAATTTTATGCATTGCAATTTAAGAGATGTTCAAATGGCATTGATATTTGTTCATTTATTGTATCCAACAGGTATTATTTGCAAATTCTTAAAATCAAGAAATTTGCCACAAGTTTTAAATCACAATTAAATGAGCTTAACAAGATTTGAATTAACTTTCCAACTTTCTCAACAAGGTTTAAGTTTTCAACCAAGCACCGAATGTGTATTTCTTTTTCTTTTTTTGGTACAATGGAGGTCAAAGTTGAGGAGATTTGGGCAAAGGGAGATTTAGCTTAATACAACTCCTCTCCATATCATTTTCTTCTTTATTTTTACTTTAGATCTCTATGACATTTGTAATTCTTTTTCCAACAAAAAAAATCATATTGGAACTAGTTTACGAAAGGAGAGAAAGAAAACATTACAACTACTAGTCTCAAAATTTCATCTCCATTATTCTAAAAATATATTTAGTTTTCTTGTTTTGATAAAATGTTTAATGATTGATTTATTCATACTTCTTTTTTATTTCAATTTTAAATTGCCAAAAAAAAAAATCTCATAATTCATTGACAAATTGTGTAATTGGTAATTCTACGGTTTATTGTAAATCTTGTTGTTAAAAGAATGATGCTGTCATAGTAATATTTTTGTTTTATAATTTTATGAGTTTATCATGTTTTTGTTAGTATATTGTTTGCATATATATATATATATATATATATATATTAATAAGTATGATTTAATACGCCTTAGGAAAAAAATAAGATAAAGTATGTGAAAATAATAAGATAAAGTATATTATATATTATTAGTTGGCCCCCTCAAAGTACATGTCAGGATCTGTCACTGCTTTGATGTAATATAATACTTAATGAATTTGACCTGCTTTGACATGTAGCCAATGATGAGAGTTATTGCCTTAGGTAGTTGCCTTGATTTTCATTTTGTACCTCCATCATTGCTTCTGCCAACTTCTTGTTGTATGGGTTGGCTTTTATGAAAATCATGAGCTTTGATACCATTTGATTTTGACACCGATGAGATCTGAGGTTATTACATTTTCCATAAAAGATCACATGGATTATAAATCTTTCAACGGGTAAATTGTTTTTCCTTTTCTGAAATTTCTAGTAAAATGTTTTAGATGCAGTGTAGATTTGAGATTTGTTGCATGCTACGAATATTTGTGGACGGAATATAAACTGATTGATTATGGTATAGACCAGCCTGACTATTTAATTTTTAATTTTGATTTTCCAGGTTCAATGAAGATATTTGAAACAAGAGTTTCTTCCCTATATTAATGCATTATTTGGCCAATAATGCATTCTGTTATTTGAATGTGAGCTTTTTTTTTCTAATATTTTTTTGCAAACTTTTTTGGACCTAATTTTTAGCATACCTTTTGTGTTTGGTGTTGGCCCAATGATAGAAAACTCATTGAAAGGAGCAGTTATCTCTGATTCTCATTTTGAGCATTTGCTATCATCATCTCTGTCCTTGCCATCATCATCATCATCATCATCAGCAACGAACAACCAGAACAAACAGAGTTCATTCTCTCTCTCTCTCTCTCTCTCTATATATATATATATATATATATATATATATGTATGTATATATCTATCCTCATAGAGACTCAGCTGATGAGATTTGAAGGCTCTTAATGAGAATCAGTTACTTAATACTGTGGATGACCATACTTGGCTATGAGATCTGAGGGCTTTTTGTTTATCATTTTGAATCTTGTCTTGAATGTGTAACTACATAATTAGTGTTATATACCATGGAAATCTTAGGTCTGTGATTTTCTTCTATAGTGACTACAGTATAGCAAAGTTTATGCTGCTGCTTCTGCTGCTATTATCGCCATTATTGTTGTGTCATTTCATCTATGAAGAAGTGGGTTGGCTTTTATAAAAATCATGTCCTTCATTATCTTTTGATTATGATACTGATAAGGGCATTGCCTTTTCCTTGAAAGAGTTCTTATCTTCCATAAAGTTGTTCTTATGGGCCTTTCAAGGTAGTGCTCTGAAGTCATGGTTTTGAGTTGTTCAAAACAAATTCCTTTAAGTTGTGATATTAGATCATAGTTTTTTCTATTGTAGTTAGGTTATGTTATTATGATACTAGATTTATGTTTCTTGGCATACATTTTGATTCTACAGTTAATGCTATTTGCCAAGTGATGGAGAAATTCCTTTTAATTAAGCAGTTTTGGTTTTCAATTCATCTCTAGTTTTTATGCAACACCTCCTCTCTCTCTCTCTCTCTCTCTCTATATATATATATATATATATATATATATATATGAGCACAAGTTGTGTATGTATGTTGTATGCATGTATATATATATATATGTATGTATGTATGTATGTCTTTAGTGGTGTGAGAAGCTATTGTTGAATACCATTACAGACAAAGCGTACATGATCTTGTCAAAGCTATGAGATGTATGGGGCTCTTTTTAATTCACTTTTATGGGTTTCAAGGTCAGATGTAGTCTTTGGCCAAAACAAAAGGGATTTGTGCCAAATTTGGCTCCAAATTATAACTAGTTGATATTGTTTTTTGAAATTCTATTTAAGCATTAGAGAAATGCAAATTGAGCAGTTTCTCTTTCACACACACACAGTTTAACTAATATTAAATCTTTTCTGTTGGGTGAGGCTGATTTTTTACTTTTGTTGTTCTTCTATGAGTTTGTGTCCCAAATAAGTTTTCCATATATCTTTTACTTGTGTAATTTCAATTTTATTATATTATTTTTAGCTTTATTAAGTTACATTGTCTTATACATGGCACTGATAGTGGTTGTGGAATAGTTTCTGTAAAAACATATAGCTTCATCTTCTGTGAATTGTTAGAAGTCTCAGTTCTTACCTCTGAGAACATTTTAGATTCTTTGTCTGTGGTGATCTATTGAGAGTTCATACGTTTTGAGGTATCTGATTCAATGATTTGCAGCTTGTAGGAGTTCAGATATACTTCTTTCAAATTTAATTTGGCTTCAAGGTAAGAGCAAGATATCATGCTTTTTAGTATTTGATTGATATGAGCATTAGTATGTTCAGATGCTCTTTGAATTGCCTAGAGGCCACAAGCCTGAGCCATGGCTGCTCAATTGTTGCACTCGTGAACCTTGATTCTTTTATTCATATTGCAGATTTCTAGGCTTGAGTCCTGTATCCAGGTATTGTTCATGGTTTGAAGAAAATGTTATTTAGATAATATCTGTCCTTGTTATTCGTCACATCTTAATGGTTTTTGTAGCTACTGGATGAAAATCCATCATCAAGTTTTTTCTTTTGATTTGGTTTTCTAGTGTTTATTTCTTGCTTCTACTTGTCTCTTCATATACCTAAAGATGCCCTGTTACATGAATAGTTGCCTATATGAAAACATGGATTCAACTACTTTCTCTTTCTCCAACCCATTTTTAAAGACATTTGATTGGTTGGTAAGTTCATGAATATTGCTTTATTTGCATTGTTTAGGATTATGCATGTATCTATCTCCATTTTGCTCGATGATGGACAGATTAACTTTATTGAGTGGTTGCACAGATTATTCTTTAAGAGTCTTTATCTACCATGGGTGGGTGTTGTGTTTGTGTGGTGGTTGGTGTATAAAGACTTTTAATGAATGTCATTGGCCTCAGTCCACATATGATTAATTCTAAGCTTTGAGATCTGAGGGCATCTTCTTGTTACATTTTATTTATGGATCAAAACCCCCAATTGGTGCAGGGAACTCCTCCCTTGAAAGGGAAGGACCTAATCAACTTGGCCAAAGCACATTGCTCAATCCTACTTGCCATTATATTCTAATTCTGATAGTTGGCATTGTGTTGGACTTTCAAGAAATACATTTGGTCTAATGGTAACTCTATGTATTGTTTCTTGTCGTGCAGTTTACCAATACAATAAAATACAAGATACTCACAGACATTGGTAGCAGTTCAATGCAAGATGAGCTGCATACTTACACCAATAATACTAAAGCACAATATGTTGTGAACAGAAGAGGAAAGAAAAAAACAAAGACATAAAAAAATGCCCCCTCACTCCCTCTTATAAACAGATTCTATTGTGATGCTCAGACTCTGTGAATCATTAATGGAGAAAGAGACTGTCCCAATTCCAGGGTAAAAATCTTGATCACAGAGAAACTAAAATGGAAAGACACGTACAGAGATTCCTAAACAAAGTATCATTTGTATCGATCACTGTAGCCACACTTACTCTCCTCTTCTTCTTCCTCCAAACCCCAAAAACATGCATCCCACCCAATGCTCCCCAAAAGCCTCACCTTAGATTCCCCAAATCCATCTGTGACTCTTCCCCTCGACACTATCTCCCTCTTCCCAAGAAGAATGCCTGCCTCTGGTCCTCCAAATCCTGGATGACCCAGGTCTCTTCCTTTACTCAATTCTTCACCTATCTGTACCAAATGGGTCTCCCAAAGAACCACTCCAAAGTCCTCTGTGTTTCTGCTGGAGCTGGCCATGAGGTCATGTCTTTAACCAAAATGGGTCTTGAGGATGTTACAGGTATTGAACTGATAGAGTCCTTGCCTTTGGTTAGCAGGGCCGATCCCCATAATCTTCCCTTCTTTGATGGGGCTTTTGATGTTGCCTTTACTGGTCATTTGCCTGAGGCTTTGTATCCCATGCAGTATGCAGGGGAGATGGAGAGGACTGTGAGAAAAGGTGGAATGTGTGTGGTAGTCGTAGATGAGGGTGGTGATGAGGAAGTCAAGGAGATTGTTAGGTTGTTTAGGAGGTCCAGGTTTCTTGGCTCTTCCAATGTTACCTTGAATGGAAGAAAAGTGACCAGGATTATAATGAGAACTAAAGTTTCTTAATCAGTTATTTTATTTATTTTTTTTACTTTGGTGATTTATTTGTTGTGTTAATTCTATGTTCATTTGTGTATATTTTGTTGGTTATGGTATAGTAATATTGTTTGCGGGAATACTTTTTTATGTATGGAAAAATCAAATTTTGATACAGATTCATTGAAATGCATGCCGAAGTCTTTGTGTGATTCTTATGTAGAATTGTAATACTTGATTATTATTATAATTGTAACTTGTAATTTCAAAAAAAAAAAAAAATGCATGCCAAAGACTAGTGCGAAGGTGAATGCTGAGAACTTTGAATGATGGTAATATGCAAACAGGTAGGACTGAATAAAACCTTCAAATTTGTTGAGAAACATGAGATAGAGAGATACTCTGACTTTAATTTTTCTTTCTTTAAGTGAGTTGAAAAATGAAATAATTTGTTACAGTTTCTTTTGCAACAATTTGAAATTCCAAGGCTTTTATGGTTCTTTCATTTGTTGTTTTTATTCTTTGGATTGTTTTGGTTCCAGCCAAATTAGTCTGCACCGTATCGGTGGACATATCCTTTTTGTCTTGATGTATCGCTATCCATGTCAATGTGTTTCGATGTATCGGGTTTGTGAGCATTATTTAATATTTTATCTATAAAAAAATATATAAAAATACATATTTATTATATACATCAATACGCCTATATACAAATATATTTTAAAAGTTATGAGTATTTAAAGTTAAAAAATGTGTAATAAAAATTTGAAAATTTCAAATTTTAAATAAATGAAATAATGAATATAAAATATTTAAAAAATATAAATAATTATTATATATATATGTATATTATATTATAAGATACATGTGTACCTAACAAGTTATGTAACATGATCTATGTGAATAAGTTATATTTTTTATACCTAAAATAATAATTTAATTTTAACTTTTTTTAAATAATCTTATTCAATTAATTATTTAATTTTAAAAATATTTGAATTTTTCAAAAACTAAATTTATTTAATTTTATTCAATTAATTATTTAATTTTAAAAATATTCAATTAATAAAATATTCATGACCCATTGTCCACTTATTTTGTATGGTATATTGAGCATTAATTAGTCTCCTTAATGCATGGGTATGATATCTGTATACATTTCATTTTTGTTTTAAATGATATGTATTTTTTATGTTGGTTGGTTTGTGTAATGGCTATGAAAATCATAGTGATATAATGTTTTATTCCCCCTCTAGCATAGTGGTAAAATACACTTTTAAAAAATAGTGGAAGTAACAGTCTGCTATGTAAAATAATGTATCATTCATGCTGATGTTATCAAATTCAAGAATAATTTGAGTACGATTGCACTCTATTTTTCTTCATTTGCTGCCTCCTCCTATATTATTGGGCGCTGAAACTCCATTTTTTTTTTATTCTTATGTATTAATATGAACTTTGATTTTTTTTTTTTATTCTTACGTGTTAATATGAATTTTAAATTTAAATTTGCAGGATGAAAATGACGTTTGTAGATGTCAAGAGGGAACTTGTTATGCATTCTCCGCCTGCTATTGCTGGACAGGCTATTGATCCCTTCCTTAGCACAACTGATGAAGACGTCATACTTCTTAAAAAAAACAATTGAAAATTTGTTCGGTGAATTTATAGACAGTTGATGCAAAATGGTTTTGTAATATATATATATATATATATATAAATGATTAATTTATATTAGTGTAAGATTAAAAATTTTATATTTTTTTAATTATTAATTTTAATAGATCTAAAGAATGAGAGGGAATTAATTATTAAAAAAAATATAAAATTTTTTTAGTATAATTTGATCTTTTCCCATATATATATATATATATGTGTGTGTATGTATATGTATAAAATTTTTGTGTAATAAATTATCTATGGTACACTTATAAGATTTATCAAATGATCTTATTTACCGATTATTCAATTATTAAAATGCTTTCAATATTATATAAATTACACTTATCCAAATCTTTATTTTTTTTAGAAAATCCAAATCTTTATTTCAAATATTCTTTATAAACTTTTTACGTAAGATATAAATCTCTATGCATAAGATAAGACTTATTAATCAAGTAATTAGTTTTCAAGTCTAAGCATGTTAAATTTAAAATACAAAAAAATATATTTTGATATTTTTTTACAATTAATGTGCAAAAGGAAATGATTAAAAACAAACAGTTTTTATATTTAAAATCACATACATACACATCAATTTTATGTTCATCGGTTTTTTTGCACACATTTCTAACTATTTTTATTTTTTTCATATTTTAATCAAAATCATAGTTTAAAGGCATGTAAATGCATTTATGATTTAATTTACACTTTTTATTTTGCTCATTTCATCTATTTCAAAATTCTAACTTGAAATTTCTTTAATACATAGTTAAGTTTTTTAATATATATATATATATATATAATCAACTTTTAAATTGAACAAGTGTTTATGCAAAATTTTTTCTTTAAAAAATTAAGAAAAAAAAATTAAATTTTGATTTTTAAAAAATTATACATGTACCTATCATTAATGGAACAAACATTTAAGATTCTAGAGCAATTATAATTTAGTGCCAATATGATTTGATTTTGACACTGGAGTGTCTTTACATTTTATAATTTGAGCTGAAATTAAAGAAGACTTGTTCAAAGCTAAGGAAGGCTTATCATTGGTTTTAATCCATTAAACAAATGAAAAGATCATATGGGTTAAACTAGAGAGATTGTGTTAATACTAGCTGAAAAAAGAAAATATAAAGATGAATAGGAATATGACCAAAGTCATGAATGAACCTAGACATTAGATATTATGCATGTTTTCAATGTGAAAAGACTTATATTTGCATGAGTGAATGGATGAAAAATTGTGTTCATACTGTAACTTATTGTATTTACATGCAAATCCCATGATTGAACGCATTATTTCAGCAAGACAAGATTGAATACAATCTCATCAATTTGGCAACCCCAAAATAGCAGCCTTCAAGTGTTCTTATGGTTAGAAGGATGTTTTAAGCTTCTTTAGTTTCGATCATTACTTTGTATTAGATAGATTGGAGTTTTGTTTATCCTTAAGTAATCTTTTAGTCTGTATCTCTTAGGTAAATTTCTTAGAATGATTAACTCATTTAGTTCTATATCTAAGTACAGTATCCTATGATGATAATTTATGTATCCCTATAGACACCAAATTTTATTCGACGTATTTTTCAACATGATTGATTCGGGACTTATCTACAAATATGATCCAAGACCATTTAGGAGGACCATATATGGCTCATAAATGGTTCACAAATTTGCCTATTCAGAAATCTAAAGTCAACTTGGGTTAGAGTCGATCAAATAAAATCAAAATTGCATAGAACTTGATCAAAATGGATGAGAGCCAAGTCAATTCTAAAAATTCAAAGTTTAATTGAAATCAATATGGTTTAAAATTTAATTTGAGATTTTTCAAAATATTAAAATTTTCATTATGCCCCAGGAAGGGCAAAATTATCAAAATACCCTTATAAGGGTATTTTCATAATTTGACCTTTCCAAGCTTGAATTTTTATGAAACCTTTTAGTTCTTAATTTTATAATATTTTATAATTTTTGAAGCATTTACAATCACAACAGTACCCTGAGAAGGGTAAAATTATCAAAATACCATTTTAGAGGTATTTTCATAATTTGACTTTCACAAGCTCGAATTTTTGTGAAACTTTTAGATTTTAATTTTATAATATTTCATGATTTTTAGTGAGTTTGAAACCACAGCAGTACCCTGAAAAGTGTGAAATTACTAAAATACTCTTATAGGGTATTTTTGTAATTTGACCTTCACTAGCTCATAATTTCATGCAACTTTTCATATCTTAATTTTATAATATTTCATAATTTTGGTGCATTAAAATCATAGTAGTACCCTAGGAAAGGTAAAATTACCAAAATACCCTTATAGTGGCATTTTCGTAATTTGGCTTTTTTGAGTTTGAAATTTCATGAAATTTTTCAGATCTCAATTTCATAATAATTTATAATTTTTGATCTTTTAAAATCTCAAAAATGACCATGAGAACTAAGAAAATGATCATAAATACCGAAAACTTTGCACTATGGATAAAATGATCTTTTTCATAGGTTTTGGGGCATAAAAATTTAACCTTTGCAGTATTTAATGTAAGCCAATGTATCTTTTGCTGACTTTTGATCCAATCACCAAAGATGGCTCCTTTGAAAAATAGAAAAAGAGAAACTTTGGCCCTTGATGAGATTTCATCTAAGGGCCCTTATTGATCAAGATTGAATTTTTATCTTTCTTAGAGCTTTTGCCAAATTGAATAAGAAGAGAAGGGGGCTGGCTAGCTAAAGAGAAGAAAAAAGGAGAGGCTTTTGAAAAAAAAAGCAAAAAAAAAAAAAACACAAAGAAAAGAAACAAAGAAAAAAAAATCAAAGGTAAGATATTCAAGGGCACATGTCACCATTTGCATCACTGTTTTCACACGATTCTTGCACTTATCATGATCTCTTCTGCAAAGTGTTATTATTTTTTTCTTCATGCTTTGACTTTGGTGTGAATGTGGATGAAGTTTAAGGTTTTATGTGTTTTATGTTTTTATTACAAAATGGTTGAAATTTCATCTCCTTTTTACTGATATTGTTGAATAGCTTCTGCCTCTTCCAATGGCAGCAGCAGTCGACTCACTCCACAAACCTCTCCACCATAGCTTTGCTACTTCAAAGCCCTTACTTTTCCATCATTCATAACTTACCTTTAGTTAGCTTAAGCTAAGATAAATAAAGATATGAAAATTAGCTAGGAGTAACTAAATCGTGCTGCCTAACTTTCCATGGGCAGTCACGATTTGGATATTTATTATACAACTCATCCCATTTTGATGTGGAAAGAAGGCTTTAATAGAAAATGGTTTCCAAAACAAGGAGATAAGTTGTGGGAAGAAGAAAAAATGGTTTAAAAGTTTAAGTTTTCTTGCTTTTCCAACTCCTTGTTTCACATGTTGAAGTATTGTACAAGCCATAAAGCTTCAAGCTTTATGTTTTCTTCTAGTTTCTTTCTTCTATGTGGGATTTCGTTTTGTTTGGTTCTTGTTAAAGAAGAGAAAGTTGAAAATAAGCCATATGTAGGTCAAGCTTCATGTGAACTAGTT